ATTTTCTTGTTGGTTGATCAACAGAATCAATCTTTCATTCATCTTTTCATCACTTAAATTTGATAAGAAGAAATCGATTGTTTCCTGATGATATTTATTTAAGCATTTGCCCAGTTTAATCCAAAAATCATCATTTTCAATCAAAGGCACACTTTCTAAAACAGTTTTATTGCTTAATATTGTTTTTAAATAAATATCTGTATTCTGCATTTGATCGAAAATATCCAAAAGAACAAGAATTATTTCCATGTTTTTGGGTTCTAAATTTTGCAGAACTTGGTCAAATACACGGAAAATCAAAGAATCTGATAATAATACAGGAGACAACTGAGCAATGAATCGCAATGTTTTGAAATGATGAATTGAGTAATCTTGTATTTGTTCTTGATTTAAAATGCTAATCACCAATTTGAGTCTTGTTTCTTTTGTTTCTTGAAATTTTTCACATAATGTGTTGAAAAGTTGGAAAGCTTTCTGGAATTGTTCAAAAAATTCGCCTTTGAACATCCCCTTAATTATGATGAAGATGAGTTTTTTGGCGAATTCATAATCATTTGCGAGATAGAAACTTGTTCTCACAAGAAAGATTAGGGATTTTTTAATTAATAATTTTCTTGGTATTTTTTGGGGATCCTTTTCAGGTTCTTGTTTCTCATTTTTGGATGTTTGTTTTGATTCTTGGTTTTTATTTGAAGATTTCTCGCTGATATCCATTTTTTGAGTGTCATTTACTTCTTGGGGTTTTTTATTTGTGGTTGTGTTTATTTCTGAGTAAATATTTTTTATAATATAGGAAGAAATTGGAAGATGATTGAAATTTAGTTTTTGAGGATTTGTGATTGGATTTTCTTGGATTAAAAAGAGAAAGAATGAAAGACCATCGCAAATCGCTATTATTTTTTCATTTGTAATTATTTTTTCATTTTCAATTTTTGATTCATTTTCAATTATTTTTTCATTTGCAATTTTTGATTCATTTTCAATTTGTATTTCATTTTCAGTTTGTATTTCACTTGAAATTTGTGGAATATTTGACAAATAATATTTCTCTAATACATCATCAATTGGGAAATTTACACTCTCAAATATTTTGGAAATTAAAACTTTGCAAACTTTTCTTAAAGATTTGTTTTGTGACCAGAATTTAGTTGATAATAAACAGAGGATTTTTTCAGATAAATTTTTGACTGAGGTTAAATTTGAATTATTATCAGTTTTTTTGATGGAAAAAAATTTGAAATGATTGTTTGCATCAACTCAATCATATTGTTTCTTTGAGAAATTGGCACTAATTGATGTTCAAGTATTAAAACGAGAGATCTGAATATTTGCAGACAATACTTGGAAAAGAAGTCCTTTGTTTTAGGTGATCCAGAAAGAATAGATAATGTTTGAATAAGAATATTATTTTGAGCTTGAGAATTTGGTTGAATGTTCTCAATTTTGTTTGAGAATAATTTCTGGATAAAAGGCAAACTAAAGAAAGAATGAGATACTGGAAAAAATTCAACAAGAGATTTGATAAGCTTCATTCCATGAGATGAAGAAAATAGATGCCTTATTTGGAACATGGAATAGTAGTCAATATTTCTTGATGTGGAGCGAAGATCGTCTACAAATGAACCGCCGTTTGTTTTAAATTGAAGAAAGAGACTCAAGAATTTGGAAATTTGATTTGATAACTTAGATTCCTGATTTTTTTGCAAAAGAAATTGTGTGTGGAAAAGTTTAATTAACAGCGAATAATCGCACCAAATTCGCGAAGATTTGGATGAATTGGGTGGTTTTTCCTCATTTTTTTGGGGATGAATATTTGATAGAAAGGAAGAATTTAAATTGTTTAAAGTATCACTTGATTCAAGTGAATATTTCATGCTTAAAACCAAATTGAAGAGAATTGTCTGAAGCAAATTAATAAAGCTTGTGTTCTCGTTTTTGTGTGTTGTTTGGTGTGTTCCGCTGATGTTATCTAGCATTTCGTTGATAAAGTGAGTTAGGTCCAAATGGAATATTTGTGTGTGTTCATCATGGAAAAACAAATCAAGAATAATTTTGGATTCTGACTTGGTATTTCTTTTTGGTTGAAAAAAAGGCAACTTTTTAGCAAAGGGATTGCGAGAAAAAGAGGCAAATCTGCCAAGAATCTCAAAAGCTTTTTGCGAATTTTCGTCAAAGTGATCTTGGGATGATATTTGGATCAATTTTTGGATTACAGCAAGTTGAGTTGGTTTGAATTTTTGTTCCAAATAAGTTAAATTAAAATTGGTGATCAAAAACTTGAGCCAGTTGAGATAAATGGTGTTGTGTGCGGGTTTTTTTGAGTACAAAAGCATTTTGGATTGGTGGATAAAAGATTGGAAGTTTTTGGCTAAAAATGTGATATGGAAAGCAAATTTATGGAAACATAACTTGGCGATTGATTTTGTGATTTTTGCGAAAATGGGATTGATTGGAGAGTAATTTGAAATCTCTTGGAACTTGTCAATTAAATAAACAACAATTTGTTTTTCTGAGCCTGATTCCTGGAGATTTTGGTATAAATGAGACAGAAATCTGAGGAAAGGAAGAGATGAGTCTGGTGATTTTTGGAAGTTGGAGATGAATTTGCTGTTAATTTTGTGCAAACCAAATGCGAATATTTGAGAAATATGGTTTCCAATCAAATTTGTGTTTGGATCAACTTTATCCTTGCTATCTAAATTGTTAGTATTAATGCTGTTGGTATTATCAAGTAATGCTTTTATTGGCGAGTACTTGTATAAATTGAGGTCTTGGATTTCGACTGTGATTTCTTGTGTTTGAGATTCTGTTTGGTTTTGGATTGGCTTTTTCTTATCCAAAAAGGAAAACAAGAAAATAAACAAATCGGAAATTGCATTTCGTGTGTTTTGAGAAAGATTCAGAAAATCTGGGGTTTTTTTGATCAAGAAATCAAGCAAATTGGCGAGAAATCTGATATTTGGGAAGCTTTGCTTGACAATGATGCGGATCATTCTCAGAAACTCCTTTTCATTTTGCAATCCGTTATAAAGAAAGGAAATGGAATCAACACACATCTTTTCGAAAAGATCAGCAGGGAATCTCTGGAAGATGTGGCAGATATGGCGGTATCTTTTTTTCTGATGTTGGAAAAATTCCTGCTGAAGATTTTCTTTATTGGATGTGGTTTTGTGAGCAACAATCATATCGACATAGATTGAGATTATCTGCTGGAAAAAGTTTCTGAGCAAAGAGTATCCAAAAATGGAGAGACGATCCTTGCTTAATCTCAGAGTGTTCTGTTGGTTAGCATCCACCAAAAGCGAGATGTGCTCGTTTAATTGCGGATTTGCTATTTGTGAGTTTGATTTCTCTCTCAAATGCAAAATTGACTCAACAACAAGAAGAAAATTTGAAGTGAAATAATCAAGAAGAGATTCAATCATTTTGCGGGAAACTTTCTTGCGTTCAATCTGCGTGATTTCCTGCGATTGGTCGAGTTCCCATGATTTCTTGTTGAGCAAGAAATTGTGGATGAAATAGTCGTTGAGTTGAATACGCGAGGGATAGTATTCAAAGAACGAGAAAGACAAGCGAGTTTTGATTGACATCCAATCATTGATGCATTTTTTCACCTGCACATCACCAATCAGGTATTTCTGCTCCATTTCTGACAAAGAGTGGATTTTGTCCACATACGATTGGAGAATTCTAGGCAAGATTTGCATTAGCTCTTCGATGGGAAGAGAGGATTTGATCAACTTGGGGATCATTTTGCGAACAATAAACTGGAAAAGAATATCCAAATAAATTGGTGTGTTTGGATCATAAACAAATTGGAAATAAATCCTCAAAAAGTTGCGAATATGCGAGTTAGAAATGATGCTGTTGTTTCTATTGACGCGGAATAGCATGTAGATTGTGTTGTAAAATTGGAACAGAATTAATTTTGCTGAGTTTTTTATGAGCAAGACATGGGAAAACAAGTTGTAGTTAAGCAAACAATCCAAAATAAGAGTTGCATTTTCCTCGCTTTCTGCCAAAATTTGCTTGTTTCCCAACAACCTCAAAATCAGGTTGAGTATTTTCTTCTTGTCGTTAACACGCTCTGGATTTGCGTGGATAAAAACTGATGTTGCGCAATTTATAACCTTTGCGAAATCAATTGTGATATTTGGAAAATTCCTCAAGATATTATTAATAACCAACAAAAAATGGAAATTTAAAGTGGTATCACTAAACAAACAAATGATTTGGGTGCAGTAATCCACTAAGGGTTGCATATTCTGACCCAAACTTTGCGGGGGATATTTTTTGAGAATGGCCTCTATTAATCCTAGCCATTCAATCAACACATTTGCAGTTTTGGAAAGATGGATATTATCCTCCATTCGAAGATATTTCCAGTTTTCGTTTTGTTTGCATCTTTCAATTGTTGAGATGAATATTCCTTGTGTTAATTTAAGGGTTTGAGGGATAAAATCTCTGTATATGTTTGGGAACTTTTTGAGAATTTCTTTGAACGTTCTTATACTTAATATCCCTGTTTCCTCTTTGATTCCCTTTGTTAAAAATGTACCGCAAAGAACTATTATATTGTGTGCGGTTTTTCTGTCAATTCTCTTGTGGAGAATTAATGGAAGATGCGAAATCACTTTTAATATTATTGATTGGTATTCTTGTTTTTCTTGTTGATTTTCCATTTCCCAAGTTGTTTGTACTTGATTTTTTAAAACTGGAAAGATAAATTCTATAATTTCTTCATTTGATAATGTAAAAATATGATTTAAAAGTTGTTCCATAATTTGGATTTTTTCTTGAATAGATTTCGCATTTTGGATTAAATCTTGAAAATTTTGAACATTCATTTGAATTTATTTAAAAATTAAAAAATGAAAGAAAAAAATGAAAAAAAAAAATTTTAATTTTAATTTTAAAAGAGAACAAAAAATATTTTTTAAAAATAATGCAAAAAAAAAGAAGAATAATAATAAGAATAATAAAAGAAAAGAAGAGTATAAGACGTGGTGGCCGAAAGGTGAAGGCGACTGACTGCTAATCAGTTTCTCTTGATGGGAGTACAGGTTCGAATCCTGTTCACGTCGAATTCTCTTTTTTTTTGATAAAAATATTATATATTTTTTTTATTTAACTTCTTCTTTCAAATCAAAATTGTATTGTGATAATTTTTTCATTTGTTGAAAAACTAATACTATTCTTGATGTAACTTTCATTTCTTCTTCTTCAAGATAGAATTCATCTAATAAAACTTGTCTGAACTGATAAACCAATTCAAAAAATTGGGATATACATTTTTTATTCAAACATCTTTGAATAAAAACTTGAAATTTTAAATCATCTGCTTTTTTTCTTTGATATTTTTTTAAATTGTCGAAAAATTGATAATATTCAATAAATTTTGATTCAAAATGATTTGATTCATTTTTCTGTTTGATTTCCTGATAAATTGCTCCTAGTAATTTCCAAATTGTGGTTTTGTTTGATCTTAAACCAATAGAAAAAATATTTATGATTTTTAATGCAAAATCATTTTCAACAATTTCTTGAATTTCTTTATTTCTTGTTTCGAAATTAGTTGATTTTTGATATTTGACGAAAATTGATTGCAATGCGGAAATTGCATTAACAAAGTCTGAAATTATAAGCGCAATGGTTTCGTTTGAGGAGTTATCATTTTTTGCATTTTGATTTTCTTGGTCTTTATTTATATTAGAAATTGGTTGCATTTCTTTCTCGTTTTTTAAACGGAAAGCTTCTTGTTTCAAGACATCACAAACAGATTGCAAATTTTCTTTTGTTTTGGAATAAGAGTCTTGAATTTGTTTTGTTTCGTTGACGAATTTTTGGTGGTCAGTTTTGAGTTGTTTTGTGATTGTAATTCTTTTGATATCACTTTTCCTATTTTCTGTTGAGATGCTTGAATATTCTTTATTGCAAGCCTCGATTTTTTGATTTAATTCAAGATTTTGTGATTCAAGCTGAGAATTTTGGAGATTGATTTCCTCAATTTCTTTATCCTGTTGGTTTTCATACTGAGACAATTGCTCCAAAATTTGGTTCAATTCATTTTCATTTGGATTTTCGTTGTTTTCCAAAGAAGAAATGAGATTTTGAATTTGCGATTGAAGAACTTCTTCTTGTTGAAGAAGTTTCTGGTTCATTTCAATTTTGGAGTTTATTTCCTGGAATCTAAGCTGGTTTTTTTCTGTGTCCTCTTGATGAGATAGCGAGTCCTTTTGCGCATTTGAGAGTGCAAGGACAGTATCTTCCAGTTGTTTTGTTAGCGATGAAATTTCCTTTTCCTGCTTTAAAATTTCCTCCATTTGTTGATTCAGAAGTGATTCTTTCTGGATCAAGTTTTCATTCACAGCAATTTTTGCTTTGTTAATTTCGAAGACTCGATCCTGTTGGGAGTTTGTGTCTTGAATTAATTTGGAAATCTCGTCTTGAATGGCTTTGTGTTGGTTATTTGATTTTTCCAGTTTTTTGGCAAGTTCGGATAATTTTGATTTCCGATCTTTTTTGATTTCTTGATTTTTTTGGAACAGTTTTTGCTTTGGAGCCAAATGCTGTTGTTCTTGAGATATTTCTTGGTTGAGTTTTTTGATCTGGTCTTTAATTTCTTGGAGTTCTTGGTTGAGCTCTTCGATCCTGTCTTTTTCCTTGCTTTTTAAATCGGAAAAATCGTGAGTAAGTTGAATTTTTTGATCTTCAATTTCCTTCTTCTTTTCATCCAAACGGTTTTTTTGGTTTTCCCATTCGGAAATTAATGCGTTCAAAAGTTCGTTTTCTTTTTTGATTTGTTCTCTCGATTTGTCGTATTGGGACTTTTTTTCTCTGTTTGATTTGAGTATTTCCTGCAGTTGGGAATTAATCATTGAATTTGCTTTTAAGGTTGAATTGATTTTGTCTCTTATTTTGTCGCAATCATCAACGGTTTGGTGAAGAAGTCTGTAGTCACGAGAAATGACTTCATCTGCATTATTAAAGGAAAATATAACAGGGATTTTCAGTTGATTTTGCGGTGTTTTTGTTTGTTTTTGCGATGGGATCCAATTCTGCGAAAGTTGATAAACATAATCGATATTTTTCATGTTTTCGCTTTTGAATTTATCGCCATCTTCGTCTTGGAAAGGGAAATTTTCCTGATTGCTGATATCGATTAATTTTGGTTCATTTTCTTGGAAATACGTGATCCAATGATTGAGGGTGATGATATCGATATCAATTTCTCGGGAGAAGTTGAGTTGAATAAATAGTTTCAGTAATTCTGGATCTTTCCAGTTTAATAGCATATTTGAATATTTCAGGTATTCCAAATCTTGTTTTCGGATAAATCCGAGTTTGAGTAGTTTTATCATAGAATTGACTAAATAATTCTTAGCAAAATACAAAAACAAGCCGTGACCTGAAATTCCTGTGATTGTTTTATAGTTTTTTTCTGTTATGCCATCAACCGAAGATTCAGGATTTCCATAAAAATTATCGATTGTTTTGTAGTTGTTTTGAACATGTTTTCTTAATTTAAGTACTGATTTTATAATAGAAAACCACAACTCAAGCTCCTCTTCATTTTCCGTCATGCAAACATAGGTTCTGTATTGCGTATATAAGTGGAAGGTGTTTGGTTCGTTAGTTTTGGAGATGAATTGGATTTTACTCAAATCAATTGAATCAATTGGCTCTTTTTGATTTTCTTTTTTGTAATAAGAAAGGGTTGAGTCTTTCAATAAAAACCATCTTCTTTTAATTGATTTATGTCTTCCTCCTTGTTTTCTTAAGAATCCACTTAAACGAGGGAATTCTGTTGCGTTTTTTGCTGGAACTAAATGTTTTTGAGAAATATTTACTTTTGCTATAATAAAAAATAAAAGAAAAAAATTTAATTTAATTTATTTTAATTTAATTTTGAATTTAATTTAATTTAATTTAATTTAATTTAATTTAATTTAATTTAATTTAATTTAATTTAATTTAAATTTAATTTAATTTAATTTAATTTAATTTAATTTATTTTAATTTAATTTAATTTGATTTAATTTGATTTAGGAATTTAATTTGATTTAATTTAATTTAATTTAATTTAAATTTGATTTAATTTGATTTAATTTAATTTAATTTAATTTGATTTAATTTAATTTAATTTAATTTAATTTAATTTAATTTAAATTTGATTTTATTTAATTTAATTTAATTTGATTTAATTTGATTTAATTTAATTTAATTTAATTTAATTTAATTTAATTTAATTTAATTTAATTTGATTTAATTTAATTTAATTTAATTTAAATTTGATTTAATTTAATTTAATTTAATTTAATTTAATTTGATTTAATTTAATTTAATTTAATTTAATTTAAATTTGATTTTACCAATTCGCCAGTTTTTATACCAAAATTCTATTCTTTTTGGTATATTACTTGAATATAAAACTACTGCACTTCCATATCTTTCAACTCCTGGAACTTCTCTAAATTGAAAATATCTTTTTTTATCATTTTTTACAATTTCAATATCAACTCTTAAATTTTCTGCATTTTTAAATAAATCCATTTCTTTTCTTTTTCTTTTCTTTTTCTTTTCTTTTTAAAAAATTAAAAATGAAAAAATGAAAAAATTTTTTTTCATTTTTTTTTTCTCATTAATTTTTTCTTTCAAATCTTTTTTTTTTCTTTTAAATTTTTGTTAATTTGTTGTTAGTGTTACTTTTTGTGTTTTTTTTTTCTTAATTTAAATGTCAAATCCCCCAAAAAATTCACTTCCAAAATTTATTCCTGAAAATTCTTATGTTTATGTTGTTTCACCAAGAGAAACTTTAATTGGAATTGCGATTAAATTTTATATAAAAACATCTGATTTAAGATCATTTAATCGCATGTTTACAAATTCTGTAAAAATTCATTTATAAAATTAAAAATTCAAAAACAGCAAAATCAAAAAACTAAAATTTTTAATTAATAAAATTTTGCTTTTTTTTTTTGATTATTATTATTATAGATTTTTCCAAATCAAAAAATTTATATTCCTCAAGAAAATTATCAAAAATTTCTTGCAAATAAAGACAAAATTAAGAATAAAAAAAAAGAGAAAAATATAAAACAAAATGAAGATGAAATTGAAATTGAAGATGAAATTGAAATTGAAATTGAAATTGAAGATGAAAAACAAATTGAAAATCAAGATGAAATTGAAAATCAAAAACAAATTGAAAAACAAATTCCTAAACAAATTGAAAAACAAATTCCTAAACAAATTGAAAAACAAATTCCTAAACAAATTGAAAAACAAATTCCTAAACAAATTGAAAAGGAAATTGAAAAACAAATTCCTAAACAAATTGAAAAACAAATTGAAAAACAAATTCCTAAACAAATTCCTAAACAAATTGAAAAACAAATTCCAAAACAAATTCCAAAACAAATTGAAAACAAATTCCTAAACAAATTGAAAAACAAATTCCTAAACAAATTGAAAAACAAATTCCTAAACAAATTGAAAAACAAATTCCTAAACAAATTCCAAAACAAATTCCTAAACAAATTGAAATTGAAATTGAAAAGGAAATTGAAAAAGAAATCGAAATTGAAATTGAAAATCAAAATCGAGATGAAATTGAAAATCAAATTGAAAATCAAATTCAAAATCAAAATGAAATTGAAAATCAATATCAAAATCAAATTCAAAATCAAATTGAAAGTGAAAATCAAAATCAAATTCAAATTGAGGATGAAAATGATCAATTAGATAACGATTTTATAATGATTGAAAATTTTGAACAAGAAGATAAAAATATTGAAAATATTGAAAATATGGAAAATATGGAAAATATTGGAAATATTGAAAATATTGAAGAAAATCAAGAAAATCAAGAAGATTTTCAATATATTGAAAAACAAGATATTGAAAAAATCCAAAATAAAAAAATTAAAGAAATTGGAAAAGAAAAGATAAAAAAAAGTCACAAAAAAAATTTATCAAATAGTCCAGATCAAGTTATTCATCATCCTGCAAATTTTTTAAAAGAAGGAGTTTTAGAAATTAAAGGAGCTTTAACTTTGACTCCATATTTCTTTATTTTTCAACC